AGTGGAAAATAGCTACACTCCGTTCAACCATTTCTTTAACTATAGACGTATGCATGCCTCTGAAGTTGCCTAATTATTAACATACAACCATAGACAAAAAATGCAATACATCCTAGATTCTTTTACTTTCTAATATTAGTCAAGAGACGTGCTTTTTGGCTCCGAAATTTATCGAGCTAACAGATTATGTAATAAAAATTATTCAAGTTGATAAATTTTGGTACCTGTGTGAAATTAAATGATATAATCTATAAATAATTATAATAAATTTTTATTGTTTATTGTAATGAATCATCGGATTCCTCTCCATATGAACGGGAATCATGCTAATTAACATTAATTATTACTTCTTGAGTACACAAATTGTCAAACGCAACATCACGATCCCAATCAGACAGTATCTTCTTTATTGAACCCGCTCACATGCAAGATTTAAACTTCTTCGTAAATAAAATCGATTGTTATAAAAATATCGAATCGGAAACGCATTGGGACATCACTAATAGATTAGAATTCGAGCTGTTAAAAGTTAAATAAATAGTTGGACGGAGTATAGTGTCGGTCAGAGAGATCGAAATAACTATATAAACAAAATTTGTTCTACTATTATGATGAGTCCTTCTTCAATACTTACATATCTTTATTTCGTTAATTGTATATTTTGACACATAGATGATCTAACACAGTATGTATACAGATAGTCATAAGAATTTCGTTCGTAGGAACAATATTTATTTATTTATAAGCCTTTAATAAGCATTCGGAAATTGTATAATATGTAATACAACATGTATAGTAAAACTACTAGATGGAAAACACATACGCAAATATGAAAAATGACAGAGGTAAAGATAGAGGTACAATATAAGAAAACAATAAAGCATCAGAAAAATTGGTATCACTAAATTTCTTTTTATATGCACAGATTTATATGTATCAAAGATTTGGCACGTATTAGTTTTATTACACAACTTTACATGAAGTGGCTTTACAGTGCTACGTCGGTATTGGTCGTATGGCTGAGGATGTACTTATAGTTGCTAACGCGAGTGTGTAACACCACAATTTCGACTTGAATTTTAAATGTAACCATAATTAAATGAGTACGAGGATAAGGAGAAAGTTTCCATGAAATTAAATAATTATGTACATTAACAAAATGATTCAGTCTTTATAAACAGGTTTAGAAGTATGGTTTTTAATGAAAATGAATGAGATGCTTCATCGTTTGAAGTATATATAACTACAAGAATTTTATATCTATGTACCTATCTATTTGGTGTTTTAATAGTATGATAAAAGATTTTTCTACACACAGCGGGTTCTCATGGTTGTTTCAGTTTGAAATTTCAGTACTGATAAAAATATTTTTCTAATTCTATCTTTGTCTATATTTTATGGTACAATATCTACTTACATACTTTTTTCTAGAAATGACACTGAATACTCGTTTGCAGAACATTATCGAAGTTTTAGAATTGAGCTTTTCGAGATATCATACATCAAGATTCAAATTACACTAAAGAAAGATATATAATTTTCCCTATTTATAATTACTAATTTTTCACATTACTAAATTGATCTTTAATTGGTATTTATTTAGTTCTTATTTATAATTTGCTTATTTTAAATAAATTACCCTTTGTATTAAAATACACCTAAGGAACGGCGTTAGGCTACGTACAAGATTTCAATATTTACATTCGGTTAATGATAAAGTTTTGTGTATTTTATGTACAGAAAAACCTTGGTACGGACTAAGAACGATATTAGCAGCCATATCGCGGATATGTGGCACCACTTGCGTGACACGAGCGAGCTGTCGAAGTGGATGCTGCCGGCGCTCGCGCATCGTTCAGATCGTGGGCAGCAGCGGGCTCGGAGACCGCGATCGTTGCCGCCGAGAACTGCTCCACTCCCCCATCATATCCTCGTCTCCCTGCACACGCGTACTCGACATACTCTCAGCGTCACACTCCACAACTTCCCAACTCTGAGATCGAGATTTTGAAATCATTTAACCTAGAGAAGGGTAGCTAAAGGATAGGTACGCCACTATTACGGAAGAAGGAAGTTCGTTGCGATAGAATCCTGCTAAACTATACCTCTTCGAAAAACAAAAGAATAACAACATGACCATATTAAAGTCGCTACCACTCTACGACAACTATTCTACTCAAATAGACAACAATAATACGATCAAGATTTGTCACATCTTGGTTGCTCTAAAGAGGCAAGTCCACAGAACGTCCATGCAAGGCAAATATACTATATCTTCCAACCGTCTATGACTCGCCAATATTCTACGGGGTCGTGCGGGGTTGTGCGAGTGATGAAAATCACGTATTACGGTGTCAACACTTACATATAAGAAGTAATTACCATCATCGTGTGAGGTGAAGGCGCGCCAAGGGGTGCGGGCACTGTGGAAGGGGGCGCCTTTGGTGGTGGCGGGGCCGGTGGTGGTTCGGGAGACGCAGCCGCGGGTGAAAATGATGATGGCGCTAATGGCGATTGGGCTGAATCAAAGAAACCACCTGTAGAAACTACACCTCGTGACGATGCCGTAACCTTCAGTAGAAACTGGTAGCGCACGCTAACTCCTTCTAAAATTCTACTACTATAGCTACTTAACTTGACAATAAATGTGAATAGTAATTTTATACGATTGGTTCTATAACTATCATTATATAGTTGCTTTAAACCAGTGAAATAGAACTATAGGGACTCATTGCTTGGTCTATTTAGATGAGCCCTCTTATAACTTTATTATATACTTGATAACTTTGGATACACTGCACAAAATAGTTGAACACAAAAACTGAAGATTAATGCTTTACACTCACCAGCCGCCGTAAGAGCCAGCACAAACTGGCTCCAATGCACGCAGCATCCACAGCACAGCTGCAAAGCTGCACGACGCAAGGCTCTGTGCAGAGCCATGAACAGCAATGGATTCACAGCCGCGTGGACATAGGAGATGTGCAACGTGATTTGGAAGTACATCTGAGGAACAATTAATGGTAATTGCCTAATACGTATATAAAGATAGTAAGTAACTATTATTATTATTCATATTAAAATTATTCCTCATGAAACTGAACTTTATTTTTGATGATTTAATTTAATCTATTTGATTAAGAGCGGTTACGCAGGGCGACTTTGATTTTTAGATTAGTCTAACTTTATACATATGCGCGACTATAGCAATACAATCGCGATGCAAACGTGATGCAGTTGTAGCTGTAGTGATACGATCGCGATGCAAACACGCAACTGCATCGATGCAAACGCGCGATTGCGATGAAATCACGCGTTTTACTGGCCACATATACCAGAAATTTAATCGAAATGAAAAGATAATTGAAGTTATTCTTTTTTTCAAATTAAACGTTCTGGTATATGTGGCCTATGACTCATATTATTATTGTTATCCATTGACTTACAAATAAATGGACGACGGGTCTAATACAAAAACCACGAAAAAAATGTCCCAAGTCAACCTATTTAAACATGGTGACATGTAAAGGAATATGAAAAAGCTAAAACGTTCAATTTAAATTGTAATGTCATCGCAGTACTGTCTAATTTTGCTTGCTTTGCTGTCAGTCGAACAAACGAAGACTAAAGCGTGAATGACGCTCTGTATACGATTTTAACGCCCTATAAGTTCGGACACTTTTTAGCGCGGACCCGACGTCCATATAATTGTAAGTCAATGTTGTTATCATAAATTATTCAACCATTTTAAAGCATTCCCCTAAATATGTTCAGAGTGGTATATTTTTGGCTACTTTAAAGAATTTATATTAAAATATTGTAGTCTTGTTTATTGTTTATATGTCAACTGTTTATATGACAAAATCAGGCATCCAGTCGAATTCGTATCATAGTATGAAGGCGAGTCTTAGGAGGCGAAGCGGGAAAAACTGTTTTGCTAGATATTCACGTTCACGTGACATGAACAGACAACCTGACCAGACATAAATTACCATGTGACGATGATAGACTACTCAGCAGTGCACTGAACGAATTGCAATGTGCAAGACCAGCCTCCTGAGTAGACGTTTCCTATGTTTTACATTTAAAAATTATATTGTAGATATACACGCACTTATGTAAATAGAATTTGTATAAATAGTCTAGTTTTTAGAAATAAAGATCTCTTTGAATCCAGACATCAACGCTGTCTCATTGACGACGACGGAACTCTCCTCACTATAGCGTCCTCTCACTGCGGCCAAGACACCTTTAGCCGTCAGCTTATCTGATCAGTCTTGTGAGTCTGTGAGACTGGCAGTGAGAAAATCCTCTCCTTGCACCCCTTATCCTTCCCACCTACCGTCTGTTACCTTGGGTCGCATGGTAACAGGCTTCCTCTACCTATCTATATACGTATATATAGCAGTGTATGGTTAGGGCTAGGCTGTTAGGTTAGGAACGTAGGGTTGTTTGTGATAGATTACAGTTTTCCGTTACCATTTCATGTATTGCCAGGTAGCTTAAATTACACACAAAGACGATACTCAACAGTAACACTCATATCACACCATGATCATACCCAACAAATACTACACAAAGACAGAGATAAAGTTAGTTGGCTCTATACTAGATGAAATGGTTTAGGTATTTACTGTTAAATAACGGTCTTACAAAAAATATACGATATATCTAAGAATATTGTCTAAAGAAAGTGCTAATGTGTTGCACGATAGGATGTCATCCGATCATATCAAAACAGAAATAAAAGTCTAAAACGAATGTAAAATATCTAACTTTGTACAGCTCGTCAAGCTTGACACTTTGTACTTTGGACCGTTCTTATCGTAAGCGGCGTAGAGTGGAATGGAGATTCTCCCTATGCACTACATTGAACCTGCTAAATTTGGTTTTCAACTGAAGCCCTAAAATTCACATTTATCCCAAAATTTGCAATTTGACCAGCAGATTAGAGACACGACGCGCCACCCGTTGCCCCGGTTAGTCGCCATCGGACGCTTGTTGACGACGGAACTGAGTAAAATCTAGACTCGCATTGAAATACCTCGGCCTTAACATTTTCGTCATAATTACTACCGGTGGGGTTACTGTACAGAATATTTTCGTGTTAGAAAGTCAACGATAATTATGATTTGTTTCATTTCATTTCCGAGTCAGATAAATTATTGTTTAATTTCCTAAGGAAGTTTGGGTTCGGATGTTATCTTAGCATGAAATGAGTATGATGATTACCTACGATTATTTCGGCATACCCACTTTACTTTATATTCTAATACCACTATTCCTATTATTTTATTATTATTACTATTACTATTTAAACGTTTTTTTTTTATTTCACAATATTATTTTATTGTAAAAATGATAAAATTATAGAATAGCGAGTGTTTATTTTAACAAAGAATGCAAGATTTAAATAATATTATAAAAGTAAAAAAAAAAATTACATATTTAGGGTCCACTGAAAATCAGCGTCACAGCCTTTTCCCGGCGGTGACATTAGCTGAGTGGATCCTATTACATACGTCACAGCCGCACACATGACATCTACTTAGTACAACAATAGTGTTGACTAGCTTTGTGGTCGCTTAATTATTTATTACTAAGATTTTTTTTTTATTTGATTTTATTTAGTTTTTTTTTGTTATTTTATTTTCTGTTTGTTTTAATTTAGTTTGTTTTAGTTTTAATTTAGTTCTGTTTTTTCTTTTTTTTTACTTTTTATTATTTACTGTGTATTATTGTGTTGTGGCGTTATATAATAAATGAATTCTATTCTATTGTATTCTATATGTTCGCTTTAAACAGCATGGAGAGTACATTACACATATTGGTAACAAAATGAAATTGGAAAGCTTATTTTTATTCCGGCTTAAACAAGAGCAAATACCACTATACTTATCTAGATGTTTCTTTTGATTACTGCTTACCCGTATCACATTTAAAAAATATTACTGAATTCACTGTACACTTAAATGCTTACCTCATAAGCTACATGTGATGTCAAAGCAGGATGATGCAGAAGAGTAATAATGAACAGCGGGCCCCAAAAGAGAACATACGCTGCCGTTATGACCAGGAACATGCGGACACGACGCACTCCCTCCCGCTCCACCCGAGCCAAGTATCCCCGTAGGCGACGTCCGCCACCAAGGGGTAAGTTTTGACTTGTTGTTGGTCGACATTGTCCATCCGCTAGAGCACCATCTACAGTCTGCAAACAGATAACTTTTTGAACAATAATAAAACAAAGGAAAATACTATCCGTTAAAGAAAAGGGATATAGATAGGCTAAGAAGTTTAATTTTTAAAAGAAATAATTTAAACTTGCATTTAAATCCGAGAGCTCGGAACATTTTGTGTTACTTTTTTTTGCAAAGAATAATGAAAAACTTCGTGCCAGAGATAATTTAAAAAGTGCCAAGAAAAAATTTTTACAGACCAAGTTTTAGCGTAGAAGTTAATTTATCTTGAGTAAATTAATTAGTAGTTTTATATTTCATTTTAGTTTTTAATTTTAAGGGAGGTTGAAGTGGTGAAATAAAAAAGGAAGGATGGGTTAATCTACGTGCACTACAAATCTACTTCATACTTTGTAAACTATGGGAAATTATTAGCTACGAGAATGGCGTGCATTGCCTTACCCTAGGTCCGACACTGTTGGGCAGCGAGTCCATACGTCTGTTGTCTCCTGCCATGCTGACAAGTGTGGTCACTAGACCAGCTACTCGTACTGCTTCTACGTTAGCCTGCATGCGATAAGACTTAAATTTATCGTACACCTATAACCCCAGGCAATTTGGCTTTCTCTGACGACGTGCCCAACACAGCATCACCTTTTCAGAATCGTCCCAATGCTCCTCTTCAAAACAGGCGTCTTGAAATGACTACCGAAAATTTAAATCTTATTTACCATATACCGCACAAAAAATTGGCAATGTACCAACGAAGAATGTTACTGGAATTTCTGCGAAGATTTTCGACCGAATTCCAGAATTATGTGACTAGCGAATTCCGACGACTTTGGCGCACGAGTCTTGTGTCTTGTAGTAAGCTTGCAATTCACCGCCGTGTACTAGTATTACTACTACGTAATTTTAATGTGTCATTCAAAACAATCGCTATAGCTATCAATCTTTATGAAGCGTTGATGGTGTGAATTTGATCATTGATGCGGTCACCTGATCATGGAGAAGTTACATTTGAACACATACAATGGGTGTGACATTGATGTTGATTGTGCAAATTATGCAGACAAAGCATTTAATTTTATAGATAGGTAATATAACTTCTCTATACCATCTTTCCTGTGCCATTGTCAGGAGGACAAAGGATTCTTTGTACAAACCTTAGTAAGATCCCTGTGGAGTTTCTTCAAATGGAAAAGTGTCAGTCCAACGCAGACAGCATTCACGCCTATCCAAAGAGCATTAAGTACATAATGCCTGAAGGGACCTCGGACTAAAGGACATGACGGGGCTGGCCCATATGAACTGTAGGAGCCGGCACTGGCGGCCAAAGCTCCGGATAGAAACGTTGGCCCAAGGTTTATTGTGATCGATGCGAACCATATCATGAACGTACCGAAAAGGACACACTGAAACAAAGAAAACCATTACGTAAAATTGTAGATTTATATGTCCTATTATTAGGTACGGGTCGTCTTTATGGAAAGAGGAGAGAAGAAGAGAAAGAGACAGGTTTAGGTTGACGAAAAAATTGTTTCTTTTTTTAATCAAGATTATCTTTCAAAGACAGGATGCAATATCCATCTAGGACTAAGAATTTTGGAAGTAATTTACCTTGTTAAATATGCAATACAGAAGATAAGACAACAGATTATCTCGTAACGTTTTAACTTCTAAGCATATCCGGATATTGTTAAGTAAAGAAGCTGGAGCTTTCTTGTCGAATTACAGCTTAGAGTAGATACTTCAGGTGTACTGCATTTAAATTTAGATTAGTCGACTTAATGACTTGGTAATTATTAAAACATACGACTTATCAAGAACAAAGATGCCTTTTACTCAACGTTTAACTGTTGTTACACTTTCTCACTTTTAAGTTCTTTGTTTGTACCATTATGTTCGCAATGAGAATAAATATCATCAAGATGATATGTTTCAACATTTAGTATTAACAATTCGCCCATACATAGAGAGGATTCCGATCTTTGTCAAGTTAGTCCTTACAGAGACATAATTTGACTAGCTGTCGGAGCGATAGAAGAATACCTACTCCTGTAGTTAGTCTTCTGTAGTATGCCATAGCGTTAGTAATAATAAACTAAAACTATTATAGCCTAAAGCTATATCTGTAGAGGTAAGCAGTTTCTGAATACTTACCTGCGGACTGTCCATTAATAATGGCGCGGACAAATCTGCCTGTTCCTCTTCGTTCTCCGGGAAAATGGGGCTGTCGTTGAGAACTGTCGTGAGCATATTTACTGACGATACGGTTACCTAAATAAAAAAAAATAGAGCAATGTTATAACTAAAATAGAAGGTGCGCATTCTTCGGGCGAACGTCGAACAATTAACAACTCCTGGGAATGCTCCGTAGAAAGGAGAAACACGTGTCGAGTAAATCTTTGGTGTTGGTGTTTGTGATTGTAGTTGCATTTCTGTTATTTATTTTATTAATTTTATACCGAGAGATTAACTGGGTCGTGGAGTAGCAGTCATTTATTTCCATTTTTAACCGAATTTAAAAAAAGGTGGAGGTTCTCAATTCGACTGTATGTTTTTTTTTATGTATGTTACGCGATAACTCCGGTATTTGTGCACCGATTTTCAGGATTCTTTTTTTTGTTGGAAAGAGGGTACCTCCATAGTGGCCCCATTTAATTTTGAAGAAAATCATCCACCTCTAAGAGTGACTGTTCACGCATGAAGATTCATTTTGATAAATAGCGCCTAAATTTTATTATAAGGAGCAATTATTTGAATGGTTGATTTTGCTATTCTCTAATTCAAGCCGTTTTTCTCTCTCAATATACTTTGAGTAGTGAGAACCGATTTGTATTATTTCCTGTGTCAAGTTCCGTACAGTGGCGAACTAGGGGATGAATCCGGGTTTGCGCACTTTCCGGTAACCGATTTGAAAAAAAATCTTGGCAAATAGATGTAATTCCACGTACTTTTGAGATCGGGTTTTTTAGTACTCTGTACTGAGATTATTATAAAAAGTATGGAGGAGGTATAATTGATACTACTATATGCATTCCATAATAACTAAATAATGAATATCATTACCATTCAACCGCTGTGTGTGTTCATGAATTATTTAAAAATTATACAAAAATAATAGATAGAAAAGTTTAAAAAATATATACTAATTATTGAGTTCTTAATAATGTGTGCGTCCTTATACAACACGCGGCGGGCGCGCAAACATACAAGCTGCGCTGCTACGTTTGTATGGAGTTACCATACTTGTCTTTTTTATAATATCAAGTGATGGGACGAGCAAGACGTGTACCTGGTGGTAAACTACATGCTTATCCATAACAGATGCAGTACCACTCAGAGCTTCAAACAGCAAAGATCTAAGGTGTACTGCTACTGCGCCCATAATCCTGAAACATAAGTTGACAAATCCCATGTGCCTGTAATTTCGCCAGCACCCTTACCCTTCAAAACCGGAACACAGTAATGCTGACATTACTGCTTGGCGGCAGAAATAGGTAAGGTGGCAGTATTTCTCTGCATGAACTCTTTCACAAGGAGCTCTACTGCTACTACATATTATATATTATTATCATTGACTTACAATTATATGGACGTCGGGTCCACGCTAAAAAGTGTCCGCACTTGTAAGGCGCTAAAATCGTATACAGAGCGCGACACTCCGCTTTAGTCTTCATTTGTTCTACTGACAGCGCGATACTGCGATGACATTACAATTAAAATTTCGAATAGGTTGACTTGGGACATTTTTTTCGTGGTTTTTGTATTAGACCCGTCGTCCATTTATTTGTAAGTCAATGATTATTATATATATTACACTTTGATATTCGCATCCAGTTGCCGGTTGCTTGTATCTAACACAAGATACATATAAAAAAACAAGTTAAACTGTTCCCATAAGATCGCTAACTCTTACGATACTATCCAAATGAAGTAGCGTGGATTATTCTCCATCTTTATTACATTGAACTGAAGTTAAGTGCCAATAAATCACCTCTGCCGTCCCAGAACCCTTCGGTTTCCCTACGTTCCTTATGTCATCCTTAATTTGTTACTTTGTCTGCACAAAATAGATGCGTTAATCTTTGTTTCTTTCTCTACTTCCAAAAGATAAGTGTGGGAAAATGGGACATGCATTTAATAGGTATATTCTATATACCTACTTATAGATACGTGGGGAGCACTATAAGTTTCCGGAATGAATAAGAAAAAAATACTATAAATGGTCAGAAATGAATTTATTGTTTCTCAAAATATTCTCCGTTAGCGCTAATGCACTTTTTCATACGAATGAACCAATTTTGGAAACATTTGTGACAATCTCTGAAACATATTTTTCATATTCTTCAACAGCCTCTTCAGGTGATGAAAATCGTTGACCGCGTAACTGATTCTTAATTTTTGGGAATAAATAAAAGTCACAAGGTGCCAGGTCGGGACTGCACGCGGGATGGCTCATAAGGTCAACGTTGTTCACCTTCAAAAATTAATTTGCTTGTCTGGCCGTGTGAGAACTGGCATTATCGTGGTGCAAGATGATACGGCGTTTACGGATTTTTACGGAGTTTGTCAATAACTTCCGGCAAACAAATGGTCGTGTAGCAATCACTATTCACGGTACAACGACTTTCCAAACTAGCAGTAGCCACGTGTCCAATTTTATTAAAAAAAGAAGCAATCATCCGCTTAGAGGCACTTTGCACGTGCGCCACTTTGGTTGGATTCGGCTCATCTCGAAAGACCCATACGCTCGATTGCTGCTTTGATTTGGAATTGTAACCATAAATCCATATTAAGTCACCTGTTACGATGTTCCACACCAAATGTGACGCCCCTTCGTTGAATCTGGTAACCATGGCATTGCACCAAGTGACGCGATTAGTTTTTTGAGCCTCAGTCAAATTTTGTGAGATCCACCGAGAGTACAGCTTTCTCACACCCAAACGTTTGTGTAGTATTGATTGTATTTGACTCATGCATATGCCTAAAGATGCCCAAATCTCATGGTATGTCACATACCTGTCTGTTTTGATCATACGGCGCACATTATCGATGTTTTTGTTGTTCACAGCAGTGGACGGGCGACCATCACGAAATTCGTCACTGAGATTCACACGACCGCGTTTGAATTCTGCAAATCAGCTATAAATAGTCGTCTTGCATAGTGCTTCATCGCCAAAAGCAGTTTGAAGCCGAGCGAAGCTCCGCTGAACTGTTAAATTACACTTAAAGTCGTAGAAAATCATACTACGAAAATTTTCACGAGTTAAATCCATGGTGATGTAGACAACCAATTTCTAAAACGACGCCACAATGTAAAAACGAGTGACAGTCAGATGAAACAAATTACAAATATTACAGCCAAATAGTTCAATTTTCAATAATTACTTTTTAAATATTGTTTATGTAAGTGGCCAGTTCCGGAAACTTATTGTACGGCCTATGTAAAATTGATTTCAAATAACGTTCGCGTGTACATTTATATGAAATTGGAAATATTTGTTACCTGCATTAATGAACAAAATGAGTGAGGAATTTATATGTAATTATCAAAACAACAAACGCTTTATAGTGTTCACATCATCACTTCTAGAAAAACATGGATAAAATAACAAATAACAAGTTTTGTATTCTTCAATATTCTACCAACGAAATTGGTCGATAATTTTTTTGATTCTTTAGGAGTCTCTACTACACATACCTTAGCTCGAATTAAAGTTTTTCCCGTACTAATACTTCATCATACGTTCATTTTGCTTGGGTCGAGCGGCATGAACGCAGGCAACACAAATTAAAGCCATTTGAAAAATGTATATCGCATAGTATACGGGTTCTGTTCAGATCAGTTTATATTAAAAAAATCATTCATCAAGTACCTATTGAATATATCAGTTTTCTTGTAAAATGTTGATGTAAGTATGTGTTTTTTTCTATCGTGAAAATTTTTGGGAATCGTGTTTTCAAACCATATACTAATCAGTGTATATATACCATTGACTTACAAATAGATGGACGACGGGTCTAATACAAAAACCACGAAAAAAATGTCCCAAGTCAACCTATTCGAAATTTAAATTGTTATGTCATCGCAGTATCGCGCTGTCCGTAGAAGAAATGAAGACTAAAGCGGAGTGTCGCGCTCTGTATACGATTTTAGCGTCTTACAAGTGCGGACACTTTTTAGCGCGGACCCGACGTCCATATAATTGTAAGTCAATGATATATACTCAATTTTACTATATATTTATTCAAAAGTGATTGATTCAACACTGTCAGTGTTATTCGGAATCAACCAAGGCCGGTTTGAGGTATGAGGTATAGACTCTTAAATAGGAGAGTTTCACAATGTCACATATACACAATATGTTTAATGTAATTCGTATTGTTTTTATGTCTTTCACGTGATAAAAGCACTTTTGACATATGGTTTTATTATTCCAAGGATACGACTTAAGTTCATCCTGTAACCCGGAGGTTGCCAAAAAGAGATAGCTATCTAACAATAAGTTTGACTGTTGTACCTCTCTTTTGCCTTTTGTTTTTTTTTGTTGCGTATTTATTCCTGTGGGCAATAAAGAGTATTTGTATTGTGTTTGTAACATATAATGTATTTACAATGGATCGCCAGAGACGATTGTTCTCACTTTAAACATTACATGACTGATTAATGTATGTCTGGACAGAAGAGAGTATATCAACTTTGACTTTTTTGGTTTTGGACTGTTCTTATAGTTCTTATGGTATAGCAAAGAGTTGAATTTAAAACCTGAGTGTCCCGTTTGAAATACTGTACACCATAGGTTTCCAAACTTTTTGGTTCACTTAGGCAGATAAAAAAATTTAAAACAAAATAATTGAAAACACGTACTTTTTATATTAACACGAAAAATCGCAAGAAAATATATATATATAAATATATATGTAGTGCGCTATCACGGCCTTGAAATTGCTTCCGAGGCCCCTACTGCCGCCCCCCTTGGACCCTTCAGTGTCCACTAGGGTGGCGGTAGGGACCACTTCGGGAAACTATGCTGTAGACCCTGTACCACTTACGCACACTTTAAACTGATAAATCTGTCTATTATGCATAAATAATGTGGTATCCATGTGTGTCCATGGCACCCGCGATACGGGTCTCCCTAGTGCGGGGTTATGAATGTGTGCGTGACTACAACACTAACTTACTCGTTTGAATTGCTCGTGAAAATTAATCCGTCAGGCGGTCTAGAGACAAACGGTGTCCCTGATGCGCAGCTGTGGTTTAATCCACCGTTCAAAAACTATTTGTAATGTATGAAAAAAAATTTTTACTAAAAAACTGTGTGTTTCCAGCAGTCATGGCGGGTTAATTATAATATATCGTCACATTAGCTTTTTCGAGCTGTCTCGATAAACTTTACTTTAAATAAATATTACAAATTATAAACTTGTATAAATGTGTGTTAATGTGTGTTGTGAACTACCCCTAGAGTTTCTTACTTATTCTCCTCGGGGGAATCTCACTTATGAATGAGTAACAGAGTTTATTCAATGCGACGTTATCGAGCGTAATTTGCTTAGCTATGAAATAAAAACGTATTTGAATAAGAACTTGAATACGAGTAAATCTTAAATTAAGCCTTTGATAACCTACGACTTCGTCTTTTCAAACATTTCCAATTTCATAGATATTGGTAATTGATTTGGCTGCAATCCAGGAGGTATAATAGAATTTTCCAGATACCCTACTTAAAATCCGAATAGTTATTCCATTTCAAATAAACGCTTTTATAGGATAATAGTATAATAATCTTAAGAAGGTCAAACAAAAAGTATGCTTCCCATTCTTCATAAATCTTAAATGAGTGAATGAATGAGTTTTACAACAAAAGCTTTTTTAGGTACGAGAAACCACCCCCGTTCGGAAAAGGAATTTTATCTCACCTCATAAAATTTTTAAATTCAAAGTATTATTGCCTTAAACTAAGAGCTTCCAACAGTGGGCTTGGATGTGTGTGTGATGTGTTGTTTCTGTATTCATCACATACAATGCTAAAATCCTATCCCGATACATTTTACATTTCATAGAAGAAAGGTGAATATTTTACATAAAAATATAACTTTTTTAATACAGTTGCTCAAAACGTGGTATTTTTCGCACTACAAATCGTGCGGAAAGTTGGATTTCTCGCACTAGTGCTTTTTACTTTTCCAGTTTTTTTTTAATTTACCTATTGTTGTTTTAAGTCTTAAACATAGAACTAAAGAGATTGTATATTTATTTCATATTTATGTGCTTTGTGACGTAAGTCATTCCTCATTAAAACTTATATTTATTTACAAATACTATATAATGAACGTATCGAGTGGAGGTCTCTGCCTACTCCTGAATGGGTGACAGGCGAGATTTTTATGTATATATTTGTTTTATGTATTACAGATAAATTGTATCTCACTACCGTGCACGGGTTCCTAAAGAAGTTTAAACAAAAGTACCAGGACTTCATAATAAGAAAAGTGGTTACAGACCGATATTACAGAAAATAAACAAAAACAGCACGTTAGAACTATATTTCCATAGATTTTTAAATAATGGTTGCAGTGGTTGTATTTCATTATTTTAATTTACTAGCAGAAAATGAGTTTTTTTTAAATACTGTTTTATTTTACTTTCAATGTAGTTTTTTCGCAAACGTATTAAAAAACGTCGTTTGATACACGTGCGGATTTGTCATTTTCACTTGTCTCGAGTCTTGACCCTCGCCTCTGGCTCGGGCCAAGATGCCTCGAGACTCGTGAATAATGACTAACTTTCCGCACTTGTATCAAAAATAACTATTTTATGAAGCTTGTGGAATTACAATCTATTTGCCAAGTTTCTTGCCACCCTTAGAGGTGGAATATTTTTTCTATCTTTTTCTTCCGAGAAAAGAATCATCAAAATCGATTCGCAAACGTCGGAGTAATTGCGTAACATACACACAAAAAACAGTCGAATGGAGAATCTCCGCCTCTTTTGAAGTCGGGTAAACATATGACAAAAATGTACGAGATAAAGAAATATTAGACTCGTATACGAGAGGTTCGAGAAAGTATACGTAAGTAGGTACTTACCAGCAAAAGAAAGGCGGTTTCTACTAATGAGCATTTGTAAACAGGCTGGCAGCGGAATACAGCGATGCCCAGAGGTAGAAGGATGGCTGCTCGCGCACAGTCCACTACCGCTTGGTGAAACAGAAGACCATGGGACCACCTGGCATAGAAATATAAGTTCGTTAGCACTTAACCATAAATACTTACCATATATCGTGTCTGTGTTTTGTACAGACCAGGTTTTTTGTAAAAAGGGCGAGAGCCATTTTCAAAATTTTTTCAGTGAAGAATGTTTCAGTTTTTCACGACTTTTTAAAACATTTACGCAATGTTTTAAATTAAATTTTAAAACTTCAACTTAAAAACCAAAAATTTAATTTTAAAACAGGACGTAAATATTTTAAAACAGTCGTTAACATAAAACATGATCCACTGAAAAATTTTGCGAAATGGCGTTTTCGCCTTTTCTACAAAACATTAACGACTAATAATTTTTGTGTATACTTTTTGCAGCTTTTTTTTATAAGTGTCAGTGGTAGTCAAGCTCCTTGTGAAGTACTATCACCTTATCTCTATTTCGAGATAAGGATAAGAGTGCGGGTGAAATTACAGGCACATGGGAATTGTCAACTTATGTTTCTTGGTGACGGGCATGCACCTGATGGTAAGCGACATACATATCCATGACTAGGGTCTAGTGGCACTGCAACTGCAGTGCCACTAGACCCAGAAATTGCAATGATCTGAGGGGCACTGTCACTGCGGCCGTCACCAAGAGACATAAGTTCATAAGTCCCATGTGCCTGTAATTTCACCACCACCCTTACCGTTCAAAACTGGGACACAGTACCGCTGACATTACTGCTTGGCGGCAGAAATAGGTAAGGTGGCAGCACTAAACTAGACGAAATCTTTCACAAGGAGCTCTAATCCTACTATAAATTTGCAGTAGAGTTAGCGATTGTGTAGCAATCCTCACGGAAATTGCCTTCAGGTTACCACAAAGGCCTTACAACGACAACAAAATGTATTTCCTTCCCATCCGGCCTAACCAGATCAAGTAGGTAATAGAAAACCCAAAAATATCAAATCATGCTTCAAAATCCGCAACATAAAGGGAAAATTATTACTCATTCTGTCAACTGGTTATAAGAAAAAAAAATCGATAGGCAATTTATCAATCACCATGACGTCACGTAGTTCTTATGAGTGACGAGGTTTAAGTGGTCTTGAAAACGTTGCAAAACCTGAGAGTCATCGGGGCAAAACATTATATGTTCTAATCTTCAGTGTACTTAGTCCATATATTGCATATTTTAGTGGCTTGTCCTTGTTCTTTTTTGAATCTTTCCGCTAAGAAAAAGGCAAGGGTTTGAAATAATATAGCCAAGTCTTTGTTATACATGATTTGATAAGATAAATTGAAAAGATTTGATAAGCGATTCAGCAACTATGGTGGAAAAATTTGATTAATAATTTTATATATTATATAGCGTAATTTTTACAAATACTCAATTCCTTTGAGGAATAACACCTTGAAAATCTTATTATTGTGCTAATAAAAAATATATCTGTCGAGAAAGTAAAAGTGACAATTATCGACATAGCGATTGAAAAGATTACCCCAACAATTTGGAGAGCAAGTCTTCGCTACCCTCAGAAATACAAGACCTTTGTCAATAGAAATGACAACTATTGCGAAATTCGTCCCTCTCCCGAAGGCGGTTTGTTTATTTGACGAAGGTCAAACAGTTCCTCGGAAATTGTCACAGGTGCTTCACTTTTGACTTCGTTATTTTGTTCTCTCTTTTTTTAATTCATTTCGATTGCAACTCTATTAAAAAGTTATTACGAAATTATTTACAACGAACGAAATCCCCTTGATATTATTGGAATTTATATTATTATTATTTTAGTTCACACAAACAACAATAAAAACTTATAAAATCAGATGAAATTTAATCTGTACGTATTTTTATTACGTCGTAATATATATTTCATGTTAAATAAACTTGAATCGGATCATTTTATGAGAAGAATCATGTCTGCTTACGTATTTAGTAGCAGTAGAGCTCCCTGTGAAAGAGTTTGTCGTAGAGACGTACTGCCATTTTACCTATTTCTGCTGCCATGCAGAAATGTGATCATTATTGCGTTTCGGTTTTGAAGGGTAAGGGTAAGGGGTTCGTCTTCAGAGTGACGGGCGCAGTGGCAATGCTCTCTTTATGGCAATGCTCCCTCATAATTTAAAGCTCTGGGTGGCACTGCAACTGATTCATTCCTTGGTTTGGCACGCTTAGAGGTGGAATACTTTCTTTAATTTTAAATGGGATAAATATTGAAGTACCCTCTTTCCAATAAAAAAAGAATCATTAAAATCGGTTCACAAATACCAGCTGGAGTTATCGCGTAACATACAATAAAAAAAACAAAATACAATAGAATTGAGAACCTCCTCTTCGTTATTTTGAAGTCGGTTAAAAATAAATATGTTTCTGATCTTTTTAATCGAAATATTTCTAACAAATACTAGTCTTTAAAATTCAAGATGTCTAAGGTAACTAGAGTTTAAATAATTGTTACAAATATGTAACCTATTATACCATCATGCAAGTTTCTCAGTGTATGTAGTGTGTAGCTATTTTCCACGTCCTTAACCAAAGAATTGTTAAAAATACTATTTAGGGCGGAACAACCTTTCCAACCCATCGAACACTGACAAGATAAAAGCTTGATAAAGAATTTTCCAGCGGACTATTTGTGTAACCCGAGGGGCATCTAAGATGGAAATAGAAATGGAAACGTCTTGGTGTCTAACAGGGTTACATTTGTAATATCGGCCCGGTGACGGTGGTGGGGCGACGGATATTTGTTACATTATCTGAAATAACACAGATTAAATAATAGCGCCAGCAGTCATGTAGTAAAATGTCGTGAAGTTAGCGCCATGGAAAAAGTGTAAGTTTTAAATTTTAGGTCTTGAAAAATTTTTTCCGTACTTGTAAATAAGTTTAACCTCCTAATGCTCCGTGTACATAAAAATGTACATACTATGTGAAGTGATTAAGACTCAGACAATATTATTTTTATGATCACGTAAACGCCCAGTGTGTATTATAATGAAAATACCTCTTTCAAATTACCGCTATGTATTCCATATAACCATAACCCTATGGTATCTAAAAACGTACGTTTTTCATACAAAACTAAGGGTACATTTGCTTGAGTCTGAAGCATGTAATTCGATTTAATACATTTTAAGGTACATTGGGCGTTTAGCGCTTATTCTATAGCAGTTTGCTGGGCCTTAAGAGGATAAAGTTATGGAAAATGGGATCGCTCGTGGTTTTGTACAAATAAAAAATATATAATAAAAGACCTTAAGCTTTACATATATGAAACAAAACATTATTTTCGGATCTAAGTCGCATATTGTTGTTTTCTCAAACAAATCAAAGTTTCGGACCCTTTACTGATCCCATGGTCACAGCTGACTGGGATGGTAAAGTCAGCAATTAAATTAACGGTTTAGATCCAAATAAATAGTTTTATGTGTGTAGCAATCACAAAAACCTCGATTGAACTTTACATTTCAAACCCTAGCCAAGAATCAATGTCAATCGTAAGATTATAATTATAAGTTTTATTAAAAAAAACTAATCTCAAAAGTTTGCTTATTTGCCAAGTTTTATTGTAATCGGTTAAAGAAAGTGCGCGAAGTGGGATTCATCCAATAGGGTGCCACCCTTAGAGGTGGAATAGTTTCTTCAAATGTAAATGGAACTAACGCTGAGCCTGCGCTGATACCCTCTTACCAACAAAAAAAGAATCATTAAAATCCGTGCACAAATGCTGGAGTCATAGCGTAACATACATAAAAATAACAGTCTAATTGAGAACCTCCACCTTTTTTTGAAGTCGGTTAATAAGTACTTAAGAGCTCAATTCATTGCTAAATTTTCGCAAGAAATAAGAGGAATTCTTACTTAGTTAGATTTACGACCGTGTTATCAAAGGCTATCCGGGCCCATCAGCTGATTCAAATGCGAGATCGCCATCTTTTATTGAATTACTAGGTTATATATACAAATTGGTCGTAATTTGATATAATGAATTGGAGTTCCGTTTCTGATGTATCTTATTGGCCAGATAAATCTTGCTGTGCTGTACAGAGCCTTCACAATACGGGCATAGTATATTATATATTAGTATAGTAGAGTATAGTATATATTATAGAAGCTTTAAACTGTCTGCATATTTTGATGTCTGCAAAGGAGAGCTCTCGTTCGGACACTGCGGTTTTTCCGAGTCGAGGCGCATTATTGCGATTCACAACTGTCCGATCGGATACTTTTGACATATTTATCGGAACAATAGTTGATTTAACTTACGAATTAGAAAGATATAGTAGGTATCAGTTTCATCTTCTCGCTCAGAAACCCATCTGATTTCGAGACTACCCGATCGGATCGATTCTTCGATTTCATCGAAAATTAGGACACTGGTGAGTTGTAATAACTGGTCCATGTTACACTTATTATTAGTATTTATTTAATGTAAGTTCTGAACCTTTGGAACGTGAATTTGTAAAATAAAAGTTACCGATTCGTTCGTGCGTTCAGTTCGTTCCATAACTCAGTTGGGAGTTCGTCAGGCACGGTATGCTGAAGGTGCTGGTTCGGATCCAGCCGAATTGATGGAATTTTTCTTAGTGTTCGATGTTTGTATTAATAATTATAATAAAAAAGTTATGTTTATTATTGATATCAAGCGACGTGACGAAAAAGTCGTGCGCCTTGTGGTAAGCGCTAATCGCGTCATGCCTATCCATGACAGTTGCAGTGCCACTCAGATTCGTTCACAAGGGTATCAGGTATTCTAGGGTAAGTAATAAAGTCTTAGTAAGTCTATTTGACTTCTGATTTCTATGGTATCTATAATTATTATCGTAACTGATTTGACATGTATTGTTATGTACATGTTTGTATGTGTGTGTGTGTATATATATATGAATATCATGTAAGTATGTGGTCATATATAACATATAGTTTTTATACATTATTTATTTTATGTAATTTCTCCCTATATGTGCAAACAAAATTTTTCAAATATAATTGCATGAAACTACGCGCATGTGTTACGCGAGTCATAGGGTTGTGTTCCAGAACTCTACTCAATACTCAAGTCAGGGCTTGAGTATTGCAGTGAGCACTGAAAATCATACTCAAGTCCTTGCCATTAGGGTCGTATTTCCAGTGCTTGAAATCCTACTCAAGTCTGCTCAAGTCCTGACTTGAGCATTGAGTAGAGTTCTGGAATACGACCCATAGTATCTTAATTGTAACACATTTGTGGAACACGTCGTTGGTTCATAATTATTTAATCTTGCTCGTTCAATGTTTGTTATTTGTTTAGTATGTAACTGTTTGTGTTTTTCTGATAAATAAATAAAATAAAATAAAATTAAATTAAAATAAAAGACCGGATCGTCAACGCTTGTTTAACGCGTTTAACCCCGGGCTCTTTATGTGCCAAAATGGAGCTATGAAGAGCCATAACATGTTTCATAAACCTATTGGTATTACAGTATTTTGTTATAATATTACGACGAATCAATCATGCGCCTGATGGTAAGGTACACGTCTGTCCATAACAAATGCAGTGCCACTCAGAGCTTGGCATAGCAAAGTTATGAGGGGCACTGCCACTGCGCCCGTCACCCTGAGACATACATATGTTGAAAAGTCGTATGTGCCTGTAATCTCACCAGTACCCTTGCCCTTCAAAACCGAAACGCAATAGTGCTCACATTACTGCTTATTAGCAGATATAGATAAGGTGTATACTTCCCTGAACTCTTTCACAAGAAGCTCTACTGCTACTGAAGAAGAAGAGTGTCAAAAACAATGAAACTATCATTGGTAATATTTGACGATCTCGGTGGCCTAGGTTTACATTGTGGACGCTGGATGCGGAGGTTCCGGGTTCAATTCCCGGTAGGACCAATTTGGGAAATTGGTTTTGGTCTGGGTGTTCTGGGAAGTGCTCCAGAATGAATTTCGTTGCTCTAGTACTATGAGTACTTTTGTATGAATTTAAAACAAAATTCTTCTGCTGTCCCAATTTTTTTCTTCCGATACAATGAAGTCATTCTCATAAGAAACTGGGTCAATTAAAATTGAAAAAAAAATGACAATTTTATTAATTTTGTATGAAAAAATATTTTATGAAATTTGTCCAACTTATGCTGTTCTGATTTTTTTCGTCCCTTCACTAAAAACATTTTCATCAATTTTATTCATTTTTATGGACTGCTTACGCTTAACCAAAAAATAACTATGCCAAAATTGTTTTTCATAAAAAAAGACTTAGCGGTTCCTAAGACAGTTCTTGTTTCTTCTATAGTTTCGGATTTTCCCATAATGGCCCATTAAAAAAAACACTCTGTATAACATCTAATATGTATCTTCTAGTTTAATAAATAAATATTGCCGAATAAGGGCTTTTCCGAAAAAGAGATTTCCATAATATCCAATCTTGGGTTAGCAATCTATTTTACAGGACAGGCTTCAGACTTTTATCAGATTTATTTTGCTGCTTTCTACAACACTACGGGTAACCACAGTAAGCAGTAAGCCTACGGCGAACCATTGTGTTTATTTATCGTATAAATCCTGACACTAACTCTGTTATTATTATAGTAAATAATATTCATAATTCAGAGATGGGAACGAGATTTGGCACGTTCTTGGTTTCATATCATGGTCGTGTAAGTGTGTTATTCAGATTTTTTTCTGCCAAAATAAAATTAGACTACATAACGATAAAGCTGGTAATATTTATTATTGTGACCCTGAAATCTGTTTTCAAGAAGTGACATTTACATGCGATCAATAGCGTAAATTCCGATCATATAAGGGATCGAGCTCGCGTTTAACTGCTGAGTTTCATAATCTTTTGAAGTGATAATGCTTAATATCACGTTTACTTGTATCTGGCAAGTAAAGGCGGTCTCTCACGGTCCATGATTTTACAAATTTCCTCACACCGCCTACGATCACCGATAGTCACACACCCGTTTCGCCCTTTCATATTGATAATTAGCAACTGACAACCCATCGCCGCGCATCGGCATTGCTCATTTTTCGCTATACATTGATCCACGCTCCACTATGGACGCGTCTGCATTACCACGGAAGAGCCATTTCCGTTGAGCCGTTAGTAGCCACGTTAAGGGGTGGAACAATGACGAAGTAAGTCAGAACGGAAATGGATATAAGCATTTTTGTAGTTGCATTCGATTTTTATTAGTATTAAATAAAAGTGTTGCACAAAAGAGATATTTTTATTCCTCATGTGCCATGGTTTCCGACATGTTCTATTATTATGAGCGATATTACAACAAAGTCAGTAACAGGCTTTATGGGAGAAAGGGAGAACGTGGGTCTGGCAATAACCGTCAGTGATCGTTGCATTTTGTATGTGTATGGTAACGGTCGTACCGCTTAGGGCTACCAAATTGAATTGAATGTCCTTTTGGTGCATTTTATTGCCACGAAAACAATACGTACATAGCTTAACAATTGGTTTAGAAATACGTTACATTGTTAGGATTCACATATATGTTTTTAGTAGAATTTAAAACCAATAAATAATACCCAGTTTCACACAACCATCAAAGAGTTACAAAAAATGGGGACAAAACTTGGTGCAAAGCAAGACAACATATCGTAGTAGTTTTTTTTTGTTTTTCGAATTTATAGCAAATGCATCTAGCATCAGTAACTAATGATTTCTGAATAGCTTTAAAAATGAAATAATATTCTTAATAAAAGTGATTATGTATATAAATTTATTACTTATTAAAAGTGTAATAAATTTATTTATTATTATTTATTATTATTATTATTTATTATTTATTTTTGCCATAATTCCATAAGGATTTACTTTTTGACCAAATTGCAGCCCTTCCCAATTTCATTGTGTATGAATGTAGATTGGATACATTTCGTTACACATTAATAATAAAACCGGATAATCTACCTAACTTATATTATTTCGTATAAGAATCGACATATATAATTCTAATTAGCGATTGGTCACCCTACAAACCATAACACCTCTCCAACATTAGCTCTTATTTCAACATTATTCGGGTCTTTGTCACCTCTATTAAACAGTAATTTAGAAAAATGAGGGTCATTTTTTGAGTCACCTGAGTATTATCTCAGGGTGGAACGAAAAGATCGTAAACGATAGTCATTTGTATGTGTTATGAAAGAAAAAAGGCGTGAAGAATTTAAAATGCGGTCATAGGTAAGGCAATAAACCTAATCCTTACTGAACGTAAATACACTGAGTGCTTGTTTGGAAGGTACATACTATCAAGCGTGTCACTCACTGGGGTATATAGATATACATCTTCCACAGGTTGTGCTTCTGACATACCTTTCGCTTCCATTACTGCATTAGTCTTTTCACTCTGTTTATACTTCACACTTCTCACATGACCTTTTTAAGGGCAGGACATGATCTGGTTGACATATGAACGTACTTTCGTTTGTCTCAGTGTTCGCTCTACAATTTTGTATCGTTATTTACTAACATCTAACTTTTAAAAGATCCTACTTTTTCCTATTCCAGACACTACTGCGTCTTTCACAGTAAATAGAAGTTCCTAGTGAATGGGTTTGCCAGGGGAAATACTCTCCCCACAAATATTTCTTTCGCCAAGTAGTACTTTACTGTATTTCAGGGTAATGGGTGCCGCGGCCCTTAGATCTTTGCAACTTTAAGCTCTGAGTGGTACTGCAACTGATATAAGGAGGTATTGTTTACCACCAGGTGCACGTTGGGCTTTTTGTCACTAAGCATCATAAAAAAAACTAATACTCTCGTAAAAAATTAACATATTGTTTTTTCTTCTATCTTATAAAGTTATCATTTCTACAGAATCCATCCTAATTTCACGCTGCTGCCATTCGCAATGCTGTTCAAGTACAAATTAAAAAGCCATAGTACAATAGCTACAGCACATCGAAGTAAAGGGTCGCAAAAAAATATTAGTAGCATACTACTAATATTCTTTTGGGACTGTAAAGCCCCTAGAAACCTGAACATCGATCGAGATAAAAAAATAGAGGAGCTTTCATAAGTGGATATTAAATAAGTTACACTTGTAATAAGTCCAGACTTACCTTCTTAACTGTTTCTTGCTAAGTATGACAGTCATGAGTGCTAGATTGGCCGACATGCCAAGCCCAGATAGGGCAAGCAAGGCCGCAGCACTTGCCGCGCCGCCGGGTGGGCAATATCTGGTGTTGTTGAGTATTGTGGAATTGCTTGCACCCGCTGAGCCGAAGCGTAAGTTTGCACCTATCATCGCCACTGCTGATCCTGCTGGAAGATAGTGTTTGTAATTCGAATTCACTTCTACATTATCTTTTACATCTACATTATATCGTAATAGCCCATCTACTTAGATCGCCTCACAAATGAGGTACTTATTATAATGGTCACGTTTGGTAGGCGAAGTTGGCGAAATTAGGTTTGTGTAAAGCCAATATTTTTTTAATCTTATAAAAAGTGACAGCATGGCAGTTGTCTATTTCCTGGGTTTTTGTTCAGGTAGGTTTTTCAACATCATTACTAGCTTAATCCTACTGGGACCTGTAACGAAAAATATTGCTTACGCTGGTGTGAAGTTTAAGTAATTATTAAAATATTTATTTGTCAAAATAATACAAATTCACTTATCAAAAAGTACAGGGTATCATAAACGTAATACAACATAATATTGAGAAAATATGATTTTGTAATCAAGGCATAAATAAATAACACACCCCGCTCTAGGAAAAATCTGTATCACGGGCGCCATGGTTACACACATAGACAACCACTATTTACATCCAAATTCACTAGATAAATGAATGTAGGTTATACAAATATTTCTCCCGGCCAGGAATTCAACTCGGGACTTCTGTGTGACAGGAGTAACAGTTATGTATGAAATGTAGTTTCATCATCTTTTCAGCTGAAAGACGTCCACTGCTGGACAAAAGCCTACCACCAAGATCGATCGGTCTTGCGCTGCTTGCATCCAGCGGATTTCCTCACCCTTCGTCAGGTCATCGGCCCTTGTGGGTGGTATATCCACGTTGCTTCTTTCGGTACGAGGTTGCCACTCAAAAACTTTTTGGCCCCATCGACTATCTGTTCTGCGAGCAATGTGTCCCACCCACTGCCACTTAAGCTTTGCAACTTTTGGGATAAGTCGGTTACTTTGGTTCTTTTGCGGATATCCTTATTTCTGATTCGATTTCACAGTTTTCGAAACTTCGTGCATAAAAAATTTTGTGTTTTAATTTAGTAGAAAATGTGGAACTAATAAAGTATTGTATATATGTTGCTGCGAGAAATGTCTTATGATATGGAATTGAGGTTTCTATTCAATAACTGGAATTACTGTGTCTCCTTCATTATGTTTAAGCCATTTTTTGTATAGCTAATTCGTCCGTGGTATTTGCAGTACATCACTGCACGCCCGGTTACATATTTTTGAATATGATTATTTTAGTAAAATTTATTTGCTAATGAACATTTTTATTTGAAAATTTTCTTAATACGTGTCATAGTACGTAGATTGGGAACTTACCATTAATTGTGTGCTCTGGTATATAGTTGGGATCAGTTAATAGAAGTGGAAAATTTGTTTTATAATTTTACTTTGCACGGTTAGAAATTTTTTAAATGTGTTTTAAAAGTTGGAACCCATACTTCGATAAAATAGTCGTTATGTGATTTGACCAATATATTATATAACTTTTGTGACAAACATTTTACGGATTGAGTTTTGACATAAAGAGAAGCCATGAGAAATAATATTTTTATTCTGAATTTTTTGAATGTGATGTTTTCATGTTACTCGACAGTACGAAATATTTTTCAGAGTTTACTTATAACTTAATGCTGCGGTGATAATCATAAAATTTGTCTTAGCTATATTTATGATAAGTGAAAACGTACCAATCAAGTGAAAAGAGTTTTAAATTATTCTGGGCTACTTTATTAACTAACTATTTAAAAATGATTCTATTGATTCGATATTATCATCGCAATTCAAGAGTAGACATGTGTCATCAGTTTAGTATTAAACCGCCCTGCAAACCCATTTTATGTATGTTATTAATGTAGACCAGGAACAGTAAAGGTTCTAAAATAGGTCCCTGTGGGATTCCAAGAATAATTGGTTCAGGTAACCTCTGAGTTTTGCTAATTTTGTCAACCTGTTGTCAACAAGTTAGGTAAGGCTGTGGTAAGGTTTAATCATATTGATATCAATTTATCTAATACCAATAGCATCCAATTTATATAAGAGCGATTCATGACTAATGGTGTTGAATGCTTTCTATAAGGTCAATAAAGACACCCAGACCTATTTGTTTGTCATCAATTTTAGTCTAATGTTTGTGACATCGCCAATAGTGGCAGAGTGTTTGACTTGAGGCAAAAACCACAGAATGTTAAGTGTAAATAGTTATTTGAATTAAGATACTCAATCAGGTAACGTCGACATTTTTTTAATGAATTATTAGAGAACGGGGAACGCAATTTCCTTAACATGTTAATATGAAACATGACTTGTTTCCTGATTTTGAATTAGGGCTGAATTTAGTTATGAATCAGAGAAGCATTCATTTTTTGAACAATGCTTAATACTTAATATTCGCTGGCGTAAGTTTTCATACCAACAATTTTTTGTAAAAGTTTTTTGATATTTTCCTCTTTTGGCGTTGTTACGTAGGTGTATATTAAATGATTACTTCTACCTATGGCTATAACTGTGTTTTCCTTTATCCTTGACGGATTTTTATATTTTAATTTTAGTAATATTCCCAGTATTCACTGAATTCATAAACACAATTCCCAATTTCTGGCACTCGGGTTTTCCGGTATAATTAATGCTTCTTTTCTATAGTTTGATACAGTTTACGATAGATTATCTTTTAATACTCAACCTTTTTATGTTTCAGATATGTTTTCATAATTTTGCACAGATCTGTTTATAGTCTGACTTTGATGTCTAGATGGATATATTGCTCCTTAGGTTGCGGTAGAAGTGATCCAGAATTGTTTTAGTGTTAACGTATCCTGTGTGTAGTTAATTTCAGAATTAAACTAGCACGTTCACTAGCCGTGACAATATGCAAACTAACACAAGTGTCTGTGATCACAGCGTGACGCAAATTAGTAGACTCTACAAAGGTTACACATACACTTAATTTTGGCTAATAGCTTTCTAGGCTGTGGCTTTTTAGTTGCGGCATGTGGTGTGAAAGTGGTCAGAATGTTTACACAGGGAAGTTTTATGAGTTGGTTGGCTGGGCACGTTGTATTTTAATTAATGTTAGGAGAAAATTTGACAACGTTATTTTACACGGGTTAAATGTAATTTCTGAATACGGTCGAACTTATGCTTATATTAGTATTTTTATTAGCCTAGTAACCTAGAAATTGTATTCTTATTAGCTTACCACTATTTTATTATCATTGTTTTTTATGAGTATGTATCAAAGAGCTGAATGTCATGTTATTTGATTTGTGACCTAGAAGCAAGTGTCCCAGATGTAATCAGTCCCAATAATCTATTTATTGCACTCTAGTTTTAATACGAATATCATTATTCCCCAAGTAGTTTATTGTTATAAAAAATTGAATGAATAATGAAATTAATCAATTTATTATTTTGTACCAATTACAAAATCAAGTAAAATCTGAATCAACTGCTTAAGGGAATAAGTGAGCCACTTTTCGCAACTCTTGGTAAGTAATAACTTGGAACAGTAGAAATAGAATAGCACCACCATAGCATAATGAACTCTGTGTCTATTGTGTAACGTACAAACTACATAGATACGAGCCAATAAAGCAGGTCGGGCGTCTTCCGGAGAATATTCGCGCAGTTTCGGGAATTCCCACAGTCACAGCATATAACTAATTTGTAAGTTTCACAATTGACATAAAATGCTCTAGGTTTTCGAGATTGTTACACACACGAAAAAGAAACTATTTTTTCGGATTCAAATCGCGTATATTGCATGGAGTTTTAGCCGAAGGGTATCCATATATCGATTACCTGACATCAACTGGCGGCACACGACGCCGACAAGTGCAATTCGTGTATATTGATTGTTTAGTTTATTATATAAACTCAGTACAGAATACTAAAAAAACAGACCTCAAAAGTTCGTGGAATTACATATATTTGCCAAGTTTTATTGAAATCGGTTACCGGTTACGGGTGGAATATTTTTTTTCAAATTTAAAAGCGGCCACTACCGAGGTACCAACTTTCTAACAAAAAAAGCATTGTTAAAATCGGTTCACAAATGACCGGAGTAAAAAAAACTTACAGTCGAATTAAGAACCTCCTCCTTTTTTCAGTAGGTTAATTATATCCTGAAGGTAAATTAATAGGTCATGTTGCCCGATTTAAACTAAACTAAATTTAACAAACCAACGTTTTAGGACCTTTACATAAAAAAAAAATAAAAAAAATAAAAGGGACTTTATTCTTCAACACAGGAAACAATACATAAACACTTAAAATAATAACTTAAAAGGTCTGTAATGAAGAAAAGGTTACAGCCTCAGCAAGATGCTGGTTTTCAGGCTTTACCTGTTTACATGTCCCATGCACACTGATGATTGACTGTCGGATCTGTAAAGGGACCCAAACGTTGGTTTGTTTAAGAAAAAACAAACATACTCGATTTAGATCCGAAAAATAGTTTCACTTGCAATTGACATAAAATTCATTATGCTACGTACAATTACGTGACGAAAATTCGATTCACTTCCGTGGCAGTGTAAAATTGTGTCTAAGAGGTATATTTAAGTAAGTCTAATAAGATCTAATAATATCAAATCCACATGTTTCTTTCATGACATGGGTATTGATGAATGGTCGAGGTAACATTCTGCTAATATCACGGTGTAGGTTAGGTTTCTGTTATTGCTTACTGGCGACTATCCAAAGGAATTAACTATTTTTAGTAATCTGAATCAATTCAAAGTTGTTCTTTAAAATATTGCTTCAAACTTTCAAATAGTTCAGAACAGAACATTAATGCATTTTATTTTGTTAATTAGTGACTATCTTAATAATCGAGCACAACATTACCTGCGACCATTACTACAATTTATGGAAACTTAATGATGTTTGTTTCTTTGTTTACCTAAAGAGTAGACCATTAGGTTACATTATTTTCATATTGTATAACTCGACACGATAGTATAACTGCAACGACATTAAAAGTAACTTCAGAAAGGTTGAGCTAATTTTAATAATATATTTCAGCTTAACCCGTTCATGGATATTGATGTTGGATCTCAAAAAACCAACTACGGGCTTTACAGTGAGATTTCCAAGTGCTTTTTAAGTCCTATTGCTTGTCCATAGAGAAGTATCAACAACTCACGAACATAACTGTAACTTTTTCATTAAATAAAATCTGATTTCAAAAGTTCGCGGCATTACATCTATTTGCCAAGTTTTATTGAAATCGGTTATCGGAACGGATTCACCATCCTTAGAGGTGGAATATTTTCTTCAAATTTAAATGGAACCAATACTCTTTCCAACAAAAACGTATCATCGAAATCAGTTCACAAAAATATATAATAATAGCCGGAGTAATCGCGGAACATACATAAAAAAAGGTTAAGAACGCACTGACAAAATTTAGTGACTCACATTGAACATTTAATATTGAATCTATATAAGCACTGCGGCATAAATAAAAGAAGAGACATTTTTATAGGCGGTACTGTTTATTTACCATCCATGAACACAAAAATAATACGCAGTGTATTTAATTTTAGTGCCTAGTCACGCCTCCATTGAAACCGATACTTTGTAATAGCAAACGCTAAAACGTCTGGATGTAGTTCGTGTGATTACTACCTTCAGTACTAATGAGTATATCAATTGCAATACTCCAGCAGGAACAAAAGAGGCGGATATGAATGAAATTGGCGGAACAGTAGCAACACAATGGCCGTATACTGCCTGTTTATATAAGGCTATATTTTTATTGAAAGTAATAAGGGTCCATGTCTGACAATGGAAACGTAAAGTATAAATATGGACTTTGACTAATTTAGAAAATAAATAATGCCCTTTTCTCCTCGAGATACAAGTTACCGCTTTTCCTTTTCAAGCGTTCTTTTACGTTGTGTAATTATCTCTCACCACAGAGACGGCAAAACTCAGAAACATTAATTAAGATCTTGTTGAGTTCCTTCTCTCTGTATAAGTACCGAGTCTTCATTATGCTTTGGCTGCGACGATGTAGAAACCTATTTTATTTTCGCTTTCTATTTCACTTATATGTTTCTCTTTTGTCACATTTTTATAATTCGTAATAATTAAGCCATACAGATTATAATAATAATCTGTATGTAATATAAAAGATACATCTAAGATAATGTATATACTTTTACATTTACCCTGTCAAGCGCTTGCAATTCAATGAAAAAATACTAATAATTACCTGCCGACATTTTGATGCTTTCACACGTCCACACTCAATGAAAACTCACGAACGAATGAGGTATGCTACGGCAGCGGTCATTTCTATCCCCTCCACCGGCCCATTGCATTTTCGAGTTCACACTGTTTTCTAATGACATCACACACTGTTTACACTACGTGTTTATATTATCACTGGTTCTATTTTCTATTTTGGTAATCTATGTTCCATTTCTGGTATTGGTTTGGCACTGTACCGTTACACTGTAGTCGGCTGAAAAATAGGAATATGGAATAATATTAAGATTTGTGGCACGAAACGACAAACATTAACGTGTCACATTACTTTCATAACGGTCAAGATAACGTCAAACAAATATGCGACATGACGTCGGTGAAATTTCATGTTAACTGTTTCAGAACACATCCCTGCTATGCATAGAGGAGACCTGTGAGCAAGCGGAGTGACGTAAATGGTATGGAAATAATTTGAATAATTGAACTGGTTTAGAACGTGTAGTGGCTATGTTGGGAACTCTATATTTCCTCAACTATGTATTCGGCAATACGTATTGCTTTGTCAGCAGCATTGTAAATATCCATACGACGCAAAACAGTTACAGAGCAAAAAAATTATGGAAAATATATCTTAGGTCGTATTCAGAGTAGCGGTGGGTGTGGGTGCGTGTAAATCACATGTGCGTAGACGCTCCTTGCGTTCACAGTGGCCACGCGCGCCGGCGCCTGTCTCGAGATGGGCGCGGGCGTGGGTGCCTACCTGTACCTTTCACAGTGCTTGATCTAGAGTCTGTTTGCGATTTCGACGTGTGGATCTACCCGCTCGTAGCCGCTTCGGCACCGTGAAAGGGAGGAAGCCAAGACACGCGCGACCGCACCCGCCGCCGCGCGTGCGCCTGCACTCCGAAAGAGCCTTTATGATATTTATTGTTATTGAATGTTTTTACTATCATGATATTCATCTATGTTTTGTGGAAATGCTCCATTGGATTGGAAATGAAACTATTTTTTCGGATTTAAAACGCGTATATTTGTTTTTTCAAACAAACCAACGTTTCGAGCTCTTTACGGGTTCTATGGTCACGGTTGACCTGTAAGGGATATGTAAAGACCTGTAAAGGGTTTGTTTGAAAAAACAAATATATGTGATTTAAATCCGCAAAAATAGTTTCATTTCCTATGTGTAAACAATCACGAAAATCTAAGAACTCGATACTCCATAGGATTGTTATTATTATTGATGCAAAGATAGAACGTTTGTTCGATGTCACTGTGTGTTTACAAAGAAAAAATCCTTTGATCCTACTGCACTCAAACCAGTGTCTCTCACAATAACGCCGTTTAAACCTAATAAATTTACGAATCTTTCGCAACGGGCATAATAGAGAAATTTGTAAGAACTGCTGGCTCGATCTATAGTTCAATTGGTAACAGCAGTAGCCATGTTGGCAACAGACACTGGTTCGAGTTCCATCGGATCGCAGGAAATTTTTTTTGTTTTTTTTATCCTTATTATTGTTGTGCTGTGCAATACCGTACATTGTGTTTACGTAGCACTTTACGTATTCATGCGACATTTATTTATAATTTATTTAATTCTTAATTTACAAGTAGCCATCGCGCATTGTACTCATTTTACACCTATCAAATGTTATTTATTATTTATTGTAAATCAGAACTAATAAACATTCGAAACATTTATGATACTGTCATTTATAAGTGTTTGGAATGAATTGAAACGCTCGTAAATCAAGTAAAAAATATTGATTACATGGCTAGGAGACATTTCTTATAACATGAAATAAATTTACCTCATTAGCTACAGTTATTACAAGTTTGGGAAAATGATGTCAAGATTTCGCTTGTTCTCGCACCCTAGAGCGCAGTAACGTACCATTTGAAAATTAAGCTCATTTTACGACAGTGGTTATATAAGCGAATCCCGTGGAACTCATACATTTCGTCTAGTTTACGACGCATTGCGTATGTTAGCTCGGAATCTTGCTACTCATTCAATGTTGTTTTTCTGAACCCTTCAAGGCTTAGGTCGTTTCAGCTACATATTTTTCTTGTTACGTCTCGAACACTTTGTAGGAATCAACTTACTATTGTATTGGATTTTTTTATTTTCTTTAGTATAATTAAACTTATCGGTGATCCTGGTAATATAGGAAATGAAAATTAACTGCTTTTTGAGATGGATACCGCATATTTTGTACTTAATAGGCATATCGATAACACTTACCTTAGATTACAGCTTTAGTATGATTAAATTTATCGGTGATCTCGGTAATATCGGAAATGAAAAACCTGGTTCTTTTAAAGTTAAAAATCTCACATATTCCAAAATCGTCTGCATGGGGTGGATATTTCATATTTTATTGTTACAGACATGTCAATAACACTCTCCATAGAATGAAGCTTTATCACAAAAACCTTTACACTTGATTTATTTGTCAGATTCATTACATGACAGATATACATTCAAAGTAACATCATCCTTAACAGCACCAGAAAAGGGTCATTTATTAAACAAAAATGACGAAATAAATAACGTAAACTCTACCCTATCCGTGACATGGATCACGTAGTCTTTGGTTGGCCATAACATGTTTGCGCAATACGGCACTGTGTGCGATATATAGCTGTTGTTACCACTTCAGAGTTATTGCCGATTGGATAGTAAATTTTCACATTGCTAGATGCGTCTTGGGAAAGGGCAAGTGAGGGAAGGTTTTCTTATTAAAAGAGTAAAAGATTTTCTTTATTGGTTGTGAGATACATTTGACGTTGTTGATCCACGGTTAGCTCTGCAGGTGCTACAAAAGGCCCACGATTCATTTCCAATTTGGGAACTTTTCGAAATTGGTTCGTGTGTTTGTGTTAATTATATACTTTTATTACCATAGATATATGAAAGTACACAGACTTTCCTAGTTTGAAACCCTGTAATTGGCTTGGATGTCTGACTTTTTATTATTATATTATGTAAGAATTTGGTAGTAAGTGTTCAATTCCATGTTGGTTGGACCCCATTTGCCAGCACGCAATTATACTAGAAGGAAGGAAAGAAAGAAATATTGTATAAATTTGGATTACAGGTAACAAAAATATATCAAAAATAAAATGAACCAAGGACAAAACACAAAATAAAACAATTATATTAAAATGTTACCAAAATGGTCTTTACTCCACTTTTTGTAATGCATCGTTGGAATACGTTTTCAGTGAAGCCGGATAAATGACAAAGATGATGTCTTTTCATCCGTGAGTTCTTTATTAGGACGTATAAAAAGGTAAAATATAAAATAACTGCAAATAATAATAATAATGCACACACTCAACATAGCCCCGCACTAGGGAAACCCTGTGTCGCGGGTGCCATGGACACACACATAGACAACCACAAATTACACCCAAACTCACGAGACAAATAAATGTAGGTTATACAAATATTTCTCCCGACCCGGGAATCGAACCTGAGACCTCTGCGTGGCAGTCATGCTAACCGTTCGGCTACGGAGGCAGTTAAAAGTGCAAATAAAAAATAATAAATGCAATTGTAAGTGTACAGTTTCGTATATTGTGTGTTTAATGTGTTCTAATGCATTTGTGCCAGGAATATTAATTCTTTAAGTAAAGTGGCTATATATAGGGGTAGGTGAACGCACTGACCGACTTGGGTTGTTTCTTCGATGAGTATCGATCGACCAATACAACTGGTTTGGTCGCCAGTCTTTATGCGTTTGCCCAGTAGAGCTAGCACGACAAGACGTGACTTGCGTGAGAGCGATATAAAGCGCGACAATAGCAGTATATCGCGCTTTATGTCGCTCTCGTATAAGTCGCGCCCGGTCGTGCTAGCCCTACAGGTGTTAGGGGTTGTCGCGCTACCCACTCTGGTCTCTCACAGATTAATGATGTACTAAGATGATTTTCCGTATTGCCGTTGGAAAACTGCTACGGTGATATCGCATCAAAGCGACCGTTCGCTAGCGCGGCGTAGTTACAACAGAACCCGTGAAAACGGGGAATGTCCTACTCTGAAATCAGTGCGTTTTTCTAGGATAAGAGCAGAGGGTAGGTGGATAGATCGTTTGTGCATTTGCGAAGATGCCTACATATTCAAACCTGACTGGCCCTAATTATCTACACGTAAGCATAACAAGACTGCCAATACTGTAATATCTCAAATTACCTGGGTAAATAGTAGAAAATTCTTAAAAGAAGATCTATTTATATTTTACATCTTTAATACGCTTAATGTGTGTTGACAAGTGGCCACCAACCACAGAATTTGAAATCGAAGAAATAGGCACTTTATTTAGATTTTTGTGGCAACAACCTTTAAAGGCGAATCTCGGGAGGAAAAGCGGGAAAAATGTTTTGCTAGAAATAGTTTATATTTTACTATTTTATAACGATTTTATAAAAAAATTACTATTCACCTAATGATATTGTCTAAAGAATGTACTAATGTATTACATGACAGGATGTACTTTATCCGATCATATAAAATCCTAAAAACAGGTTAAAATAAAAGCCTAAAACGAATTATTAAAGGATAAAATATCTAAGTTTGTCATTGACTTACAAATAAATGGACGACGGGTCTAATACAAAAACCACGAAAAAAATGTCCCAAGTCAACCTATTCGAAATTTAAATTGTAATGTCATCGCAGTATCGCGCTGTCAGTAGAACAAATGAAGACTAAAGCGGAGTGTCGCGCTCTGTATACGATTTTAGCGCCTTACAAGTGCGGACACTTTTTAGCGCGGACCCGACGTCCATATAATTGTAAGTCAATGAAGTTTGTACATAATTTTTGTATGGAGATATTTCTCTTTAAGTACTACAGAGAACGTGCTAAAATTTGGTTTTAAACTGAAGCCCTATTAATTATTAAATTTTGCATTTATCTCAAAATTTGCAAATTGCCCAGCGGTTGTAAGGCTGCTGGTGAAATTACAGATACATGTGACTTATCGGGTTCTTAGGTTTACGCGATTGTTACACATAGGAAATGAAACTATTTTTCCGAATTTAAATCGCGTATATTTGTTTTTTCAAACAAACCGACGTCTCGGGCTCTTACAGGTCCTATGGTCATGGTTGACTCTACATGTGACTTGTCAACTTATGTCTCAGGGTGGTGAGCGGTGTGGCAGTGTCGTAATGCGCACGACTTGTTCGTCCCATAATTTGGTATAATAATAAAAAAGTCATTGCTTGTCGGCAGAAGCAGTTATTGTA